GGGGAGAAAAAGAGGAAAATCTGGGGAGGACACAATAAAACTCCAGAGAGGAAACCAACTTAGGAACCGCAAAAGGGGCGTCCGAGCGGATCCCGTTTCCTTCCGTGATAAGGGACAAGCGCGGGGGGGGGGGAGAAAGTAAGAGAGAAGACGTCGGGGGGGGGGCTGATCTTTTGCGGGGCTGATCAGAGCCAAGCGGCTCTTGTGCCCCACGCGCGGCCGTTCCTAAATCCTAACTTTCTCCAGAGTTGTTCTTGTTTCTTTTTTTCTTCTTCTTTCCTCCCCTGCAGCCCAAAAAATAAATTACTGATCTCGATCGGCAGCCTGGGTTTACTACAGAAGCCATAGTGGGAAGGATTGCAGCATTTCGGGGAAGGGGCGGGAAGCCGGACGCTGGGAGGCTTCCTGTGTAAAAAGATCTGAGCTGCCTTTTGTCTCCTGTTCTTACACCCTTCGGTTGTTTTAGGGAAGGAGGGTCGTTTGAACAGCGTGCGGGAGAGATCCCTGCAGGAATCTGAAACCTCTGACTTTCTTCTCTCTACCAAGTTCTCTCTCACACACACCCCCCTTCGTTCCACTAGGCAAACTACTTCTTTTTCTTCTCTCTCTTTTTGCACTGTTTCTTACGTTAATTCCGATGTGCAGAGCATAACTTGCCCTCTATTCACGCTCTGCAGGGGACCGAATGCCACCCCTCGGATTTCTGCACGGCCCTAAAGGAAGCTGACTTCCATAGCAGACAAGACGAGGGTTTAAAACTTTTCGGCAGCAGATTCTTGGGAATGGAGGAAGAGGCAGCCACAGATGTTTGGCTGCCCGGTGCAAACCGTAAGGTCCTCGCATGCACACTCTCACGCACACTCTGCTTAGGAAAAACAAACCAGGTTAGTGGTTGGAAGTTGGCCACCGGTCCTCTCCTGCGCGAAGGGCAGCAAATCAATACGGGGAGTGGCAAGAGTGGCAAAGGGATAACGTGGGCGCAACCAGGGGCAAAAATGGGCATTCAGAGCAAGAGAGAGAGAGAGAGACCTGTGCCTCGGGTGAGGAAATGGGCAGAGGCTGGACCCCTTCCTGATTCCTGAGTGGGTCTGTGCTTCTCTTACCCTGGTAGATGACCTGGCACTGCCAGAGTAGGAGGTATGGCAAACATCTCTCTACCTCCTCCAATAGAAGGAAGCTGCCCCCCTGGGGGGGGCAGGCTCGGAAGAAATAACTAAGGAGTGTCACAACTGGTTCCGGGCATCTCCCACCTCAGGTATTTGACATGGGGATTTTGTATGACAGAGGATGAGATGCCTGGACAGCGTCACCAAAGCGACCAACATGAATTTGACCCAACTCTGGGAGGCAGCGGAAGACAGGAGGGCCTGGCGTGCTCTGGTCCATGGGGTCACGAAGCGTCGGACACGACTAAACAACAACAGTGACTGGCTGTGATCATGTTTGTGACTTTATGGCCATGCACTGGAGCAAGCAGGCTTTTGACGGAGGTTCTGGGGTCCTCTGTTAAACTGGAGGAAGAATTTCTTGACTTTATGGCCATGCACTGGAGCAAGCAAGCTTTTGACGGAGGTTCTGAGGTCCTCTGGTCCTCTGTTAAACAGGAGGAAGAATTTCATAGGGATAACAGGTGTCCGATGGCAGGGGAGACCCCTTTGGAGGCCGATAAATTTGGAAGGCTTTTGAACAGAGGATGGAGGGCCATCGGTCAGCGGTGCTTGAGCTGTGTCCTGCATCAGGAGGTCACAGGACTGGATTACCTTTGCAGTCCATTCCAACTCTGCAGCCCTATGCTTGGCCCGTGTGTGCCAGCGTTCCCTAAAGTACTTCTAGACTGCACTTGTCTCATCGCCTTGGAATGCGTCCTTCACTGGAGCTGGATAGGTTACCATCTTCACATACTGTTTTCCCTTTGTTTTCTTCCACATTTTTTTTCTCTTACCAGATT